ACGTACGCGGCGGCGCTGCGGTCGTATACCGGCTCGAGGATCCGACCGGTTCCGAGCGTTCCGAAGGCTTTTGGCGCGGGCTTGGCTGGAGATTTGGCCATTTGACGGTATGGCAGCGCGAAGTAGCTCCCGATCTGAACTGATCTTTAGCCCGTGTTTTCTGTCGTATGTGGCCAATGAAGTGTTATGCTGAATTAGTCTTTAATCGCGCAGCAAAAGCGATGTGAGCCGCCCTGGCCACCCGCTTTATACAGCCTATCCAACACGTGCTTTAGTGGCGCCCTCTTGTGCGGCAGCCGTGACTGCTCGATGAGCTCACTACTCCTCCTCTAGTTCACGGCCACTCTATCCAGGACCTACGACGTCATGAAGGAGGTTATTTTTTGCTTGTTTTTGCAATTCTAATTTGCCTGCAACTTTTAAAATAAAGCGAAATCTGGGAAAAGAAAAGTTTCTTTAAGTTACTACGTTCAGTGCGCTCAGGATCGGTGCAAATTAAAAACCAGTCAAAAAGTTGTTGCCGGGCCCCTTTAATGGCCACTGGTTCTGATCCCGGGTGCTCTTCGTCATATCCAACTAGCCCACCTCAATATCTTAGTACTCTTCGTTACATCGCTTCCAGACAGTATTTAATCCCTTCAGTAGTCTTTAGGAGAGACAAGCAGACGGAGCTACTGTGGGAGCTCGATAAGCAGACGAAAAGCTCGCCTCTGCATGACGCGTGTTGGCGCTCCGATACTTGCAACGGAGGAAATATACCACCTCGTTTATAACAGGCTCGCGATTGGACTGGTGGCCTGTATCATTGGGTTTTAGTCCACCATAGGACGAGACGAAGTATGTAGTAAATATGATTTTTTAACGCCAAGCCTCGTAAGAACTACTTCGCATAGCATACATATGAGCTATGCACAAAACTCTTAGAATAAACACTCCCAATTGATAACGAATGGACCATGATTCAGTTTCTATAAAGACTTGCTGGTCTCTGCAAAAAGAGCAATAATGAGGCACATATTACTTTTTTTCTAACTACCCATTTAACAAGCAGTCGGAGGAGGATTTCTTGACCAATCAGACAGCTCTGCACCTTAATTAACATGCTAAAGTATATCTCTTGGCACTGGATAATCCGCTTAGTGTAACTTACGGGAGGTTCATTTATTACAAAGAAGCCATAAATCACATAAAAGGCAAAACAGAAAAAGAAAAGCTTCAGCCAATTTGGCCTCAGGGCACAAAACATCTTGCTCAGTTGAAGTGCGCTTGGGCACATCATAATCCGACCGCGATGCCTTGCTAAGGCGTCGTAAGCGGATTACAGCCGTGGTCAAGTGCACCCCAAGTCAGCAAGATGGCGGCACCATGAGGACCAGAGCCTCCTGAACCGGCAACTTTCTAAAATGGTCCATTGAGGGACCCGGCGTCATCTTCAAAAACAAAACCGTGCGTAAGAAAAGTATCGCCTGGTACTTGGCCGCCAGGTTTTGCTTCAGGATAAATTTTATTGATTCGAAATGGTTCTTGAAGTGCAGTGCACGTTACAATCCCATATCCTTTTACTTATTCGAACACCAGACACCGACAGCACCCTCTTCCCAATAGCGATGTAATCATACCAGCAAGATGATGAAAGCCTTGCTGCACTCACCGGGATGCAAGAAGAATGTCTTCCAAATCTCCACTTTTGAGTGGCAGATTTTTTAACCCTAGGAGTACAGTGTTTTTTTTTTTTTTTTTTTTTCTCACATGCCAAACATTTTTTTTGGTGGCAGTAACACTGTAGCAAACTCAGTGAAAAATATTTATTCACAAGAGAGACACTATTTTATGGGAAAGAAGTTAATTGATTTTCTGCATTACACTAACCAATGATATATTTTTCCTATTGTACCTTCTGAGACAAGGTACTATGCAGGGGCAACTCGACCTCGCATGCTAAATGAGGTCATTCTTTTGAGCAGACCTACTCGGCCTTCGCTCATTCTGAACTGTGACTTCCTTGTTTCCATGGTCGTGAAATGACGAGTTTATTAGCAATTTCAAGATCTTCGGCGTTTGCCATGAAGCATGAAGTTGAACGACATAGATTCGCCATTCTGTAACAACAAAGGAACATACTGAAACAGGAGCCATCAAAAAGGGCCATGCCATCAAAAAGAGACATCACAAGAAAAAAAATTGTTTTCATTTCTTGCTCATACGTACCAAAACACATAAAAAGAAATGACAGCCTGGTTGGAAGGAGCAGGGAGCAAACCAAAACTGATACCACACGGGAATGTGCCCGAGTACACTCGGACGTGGCAGGTTTTTCCAGTATGGCATGCAAGTTGTCTCCTCCTTGCACAGAGGGCGCGACAATGCAGTTCTATTAGACCTAGGGAGGCTGTAGTGAGGGTGGGCGCAACTCAAAACCTGGAGAGCGTTTGCAATTTAATGGCGGCGCCTGAGGGAGAGGATTCGAGAAAGGATATGTGCCAGTGTTGCCTGCACGAGAGCAGGCGCCCGCTCTGTTGCAACTCTGTTGCTCCATGCGCCTTTCCTCCTCTCTCTCCTCCCATTGCAAGCAACGAGCGCCTTGGCGCAGCCTCTCTCGCTTCCTTCTCGCACCAAGAATAGGTGACCGGCGTTTGGCAGCAGCCTCAAAGAACTCTGGGTAATCTTCACTTCCGGTTCGTAGCTAGCAGCCGACGCAGCCCCATGACGGCTACGGAAGCGTGTGCGGGTGTTAAACCCCATCAATCCGGGCCACCTTCCTCTGCTGCTGGGTGACTTACACACTTCTGAACGTCTCAAGTTACTTCTACGGATATGTTAAGTACTAATCGGTACGCAGAAGCATCGAGAACGGCCACGAAAGCGCAGAGCGAGTGCGGCCGGCGGCAAGCTGCACTCGCACCGCGCTTTCCGGGTCTTCGCATGAAAACTCAGGCTAGATGTTTCGTTTTCCTTTTGAGCCAGCGTGTTTCATTTGGGTTCTGTTTATTTTTGATGGTTACGTTAGATCACATCACCGACTGAAATAGGCGCGAATGTAAGCCGTAAGACACGGCCAGCTGAAATGCCCGGTCGGAGGTCTGGCATACTTTTCTCACTTTGTTAGAACACCTAAGCCTGGGTAAGAAAATCTTCAGGCAATCAAAAGTTTAAGACGGGGAAAGAAGTCGGTCAGACGGCGTTTCAAACTCAGCTAATATGTTTTCTCGCGCGATTAAAACGCCACTTCCGTGCGAAAGTTAGTTTCGTCGACATCTGAATACGTGACAATCCTTGCTTTTTAACACTCACGCGTTTTTGGTACTTCAACTAAGTTTACCCCCGTGAACTACAATAATCCTCCACCCCCCCCCCCCCTTTCCCCCTTCCCGCACGTTTTTTTTAATGATGTCGAGTAAGAAAGCATACACAAACGAGTACCGATTTTTATATGAGCTACGCAGGGTCGTGCTACTGCTTTATTATCCGTCAATATGAAGGTGCTGCCCATTGGCTATTGTTTATTTATATTACAAAAAGGTGACCTGTCCTTTTGTTTATTTATATTATAGCAAGCCACCCATCCACGCCACTTCCCGGGAACAGTCTGCGGCGGCTCATCACAAAAAATGTTAATCCGAGCTGTCGATGTAACGAGTAATCGGCCTGGCAATAACACTGTACGTTGACGAAACGTCGTGCCATGAACTGATTGCCTGCGAGATCGCACCCCGCGTTCTCGCAGATGCCTTGTACGACAAGCACTGCTCACCCCTTCGTGGAATAATCGAGACGCTTTTGGTGGGTGCCAAAAGACTGTTAGAGATCGTTATTTCCCGCTGGCCCTACCCAAAGAAAGAGAGAACACGTTGTACTGGCCTGTAACAATATTGGCCGCGCATAAACGGTCACCGACGTTTGTCTGTCGCAGGTCATCTCGCTCTTTCAGTCGCTTAACAGCGACGGCCCATCGTTGCTTCCATGCTTTGTTACACGGGAACTGGAACCATCTTATGCCCTCTATGGCTTGCGTTAGAACAACGTACCGCGGAACTGTAAGCCATTTTCACCGCGAATACAGCACGGCCACCACGCCTAGAAGGGCTCTTGATGCAGCTGGACAAACCGCGACCGGCACCGGACGAACCGGAAGCGTGAAGTCACGTGGTGCCTCGCTCCGGATGACGAAACTTCCGGCTCAAACGCCGGTCACCTATTCGGCAAAGTTGCCAGACAAGCAGCAACGTCCAAGATGGCGGAATTTACCTATTTTCACGTTAAAAAATACTTAACCTATCGCAACAAAACTGGTGGCTATGGAAAAATAATCATTTATACCTTGTGTAAATTATTCAAGCACCTTAATGGGCTTCTATGACCCGAGTTAGGAAAGAAAACGATCCTTTGCCCCATAGACTCCCAGCAAAATTTAGCAATTAAATGGCGTCCATGTCCCGTGATCGCCGATCTAGCAGTTGCACCCACCCTCACTTGAGAGGGTGTATGCAAAGTTCCACAACTGAGGTAATCTAGTAACGTTGCCCCCAAGCAAGCTACCCTTGAGGTTTACCCACTATTCTTCATTCCGAATTAATCAGAACTCGGAGTTCTGACGTCACCAACCACAACCCCTGCAAAAAAAAAGCAGACGAACTTTAGCTCCGCATAGCGTTTCCACTCCTGCCAACGACGTCTGTGCAGGCAGAGGCGCCTGTGCGTGGATTCGAGAAGTGTTTTCTAAGCGCGAGTTCTCGTACAAAGAATTCTGTGGAACTAGGCTCCCGCACCATCTCTGCACCGTAGAAACTTGTTAACGGAGTATAGATCAGAATGTAGCCTGCGCCGGACTAACACTGCACTAATATTTGTTCATATGTTCATATACTCGTGCAACAAACCGTTCGCAGCTTCCATTGCAGTCTGCGGAGTCAAGCGGGATCGACTCACAACCGCGTTGTCAATGTATCCTTTCCTGTTTCGGGAATGAAAGAGTTGACAGTTTGATGACACCAACAACGTACCGCTCACATTGAACATTCATGTCACACACACCACGCAGACGCAGGACTCGAACCCCAAACTTCCAAACCGTTCAAACTTCCGAATGCAGCACGTCCAAACTTGTCAACCGGCGCCATTGTTGTTTGAATTGGCTTGGATAAGCTTCGATTTGAGTGGATTTCAGTCTATCCGAATGGATAGGACTACGCCTGTATTTTAGTTTTGGTTTAGTGCGCCGCTTTTTTCAGGCTGTCGCGTTTATTCAGTCAGCAAATTTAGAAGAAACCGCTACACAAAGAACACTGTATAGCCAGGTAGGATTGGTAAGTTACCTGGCTATAACTTACCATCGCAGGAGATGCAGTTTTATTTTAAGTTTGATGTGAGCTGCACTAACACTGTGTTGGCTGCGCGCAGTTACAGTGGACGCTTAGAGTGATAAACCGGAAGTTCGGAAGTGGCACCCCCCCGGTTGCCGCCATATTTTACGCAAATGTGACCACTCGTCACGTGACCTCCCAAGAGTCGTGACGTCATAGGTAAGATGGCAGCGCCCAGAGCTGGCGGATGCGAGTTTGTTCGGTGCGCGGTACCCGTGATGTGCAGCTGCTTTCCGACGACTTCGGGCTTCTTCGTGCTCGCTGACGCAGGTATAATGTGAAAATATGAAGGAATGAGACTTTATACCGTTTTTGCGCAAGATCGCTCTGGATCATCTGGATATTAACGCCTGTGAGACAGCATCAGCTCTGCATCGCCGTACCGGTGCTCGGATTCCGGGATGTGTCCGAGGACCGATAGAACTTTTAACATAAAATTTTCGCATTCTCTTAGCTTTGTTTGAACGTTGAAATATCTGAGAATCTACGCGAAATGTATACGTCGCGTTAGGGCCTAAGGGAAGTTGTTTCAGCCCTCCGTCACCGAACAACCATAGCAACTTTTAGCGAGGAAGCTCCTGCGATTTTAACCTTTCGTGCTAATCCACGATTCTACATTCGATCGCTTTTCTTCCTTTTTTTTTGTGTGTGTGAGTGCGAAGTGCACCCTTATTTTCAGCTACGAGGATGGCGTTTTATTGAGGATGGGGAAGAATAAATCGTTGCAGGCACCAGCTTCAAAGCTATTTAACTTGCTATAAGAACAACTGTTTTGGTGCATGCATAGATTAACTCTGCATTTTTTCTGTTTTGTAGGATTTATTGCAGCTGTACTCTTTTCCATCAAGAGTGCATTGTATTAGACGGTCAATTATTTAATTGTTCTAATTACCTGGATAAGATGATTCATATTTGTGTTCATCCCTTGCCTGGAGAGCAGTCTTGTTGAAAAATGTTGACTACAATTCCTTTCGGTCTCTTCAATAGAGTCTTTTTAAAAGTGTGGGCTGTCTATACTTCGCATCACCGTAACTTGGAAAAGGCCAACTGCCACAGCCCCCTCGAGCCAATCAGAGAGACGGAGCGAAGGTGTGTGACAAATCTGTGCAGACAAGCACTCTAGTGATATGTTGTCATGTGCCTCTCTCCAATTTGTGTATTGACTCACCGAGACCGTAGCCTTTGCCGTCTGCCAAATTCTGATGAAACAAATTACAGTAGCTACTACTGCAATTACCCCAGGCTTTCATACTTGGGCATTTGTTCGACAAGAATGTTATGTCCGCCATCCCTGTGAATTCAGCTCAGCACCTATTGGACTCGAATGCTGCATTAGTGTTCGACGTGAACTGGGGCCCATTCGTGTGCTTTACGCTGAAAAAAATGGTGACAGTTGTGTTGCTTGATAAGGTTCTGCAAAGGGTCTACTGTGTCATACATATAGGAAGTGTCATGCTATATAACAATGCATCAACACATACTATTAAACTATATGCTCAGAGGTGTGTTTGTTTTTCCAATTAACAACTTACAGCAGTGTGCTTTAATGCTATTATCATGTGTGTAGTTTTAAGTATCCTCTTTGCAATGCCTACGAAGGCCCCTGAAAGGAATAAATTAATAAATAACATTTTCACATCACTGGAGTTGATTTTCGGATGCACCACATGTTCAGGAAAGGTTGAACGAGTGCAGCCCCTTGCAAGAAGTCTGCCAGTCTGGTATGACCCCTTAATTAATCTTGAAGGGTCAGAGATGCGAGTGTCCTCGTAAGGTCCAGAGCGTGCAGTGAACACAATTCTCGGTGTGTAGACTCTCAAGGCATGAAGGCAACCGGAAATATGCTTATCTGGTTAGTGTATCAAATATGTTTATTTCCACTTGATTACATAATTATTGATTCTTAGGAAATGGTTCCATAACGAGTTCTTTCTGCGACAGTCTCGTGTCAGGCATTCAGTCGTAGTACGTGTGGACCTTGTTGTCGGATGACGCTCCTGGCACGTCGGTGTTCAGTTTGGTCGAGTGGCAACTTTGACCGACTGATGTCTTGTAATCATACGTCATGTGCGGCCACTGACATCTGATGCACTGAAGCTGCTGGGCTGGCTTCTAATCCGAAATATTTCCTGGTAGTTTTCGGCATCAATGCAGCAAGCTCGGGCATGTATTGCTTACGTGGCTGTGCCTTTTGCTGTACCGTTGACTTGATAGCTGGCAACAATTTTTGTTTGCTATCCAAGTCTGGTGATGCTTGCAGTTCACTTTTGAAAGCAACCAACCATTCTATTCCTTCAAGTCACTCAGGGGCATTCTCCCTCAAAGTTGGAAATTGTGTGCTTCGTGGAGTGGACACAGAAAATTGGTGTCAGCAAATTTTTAGGTATTGTCCTTGGACAACAACCGACACCAAATCCACTGTCACTGCATCGCCGTTAACCTGCTTTGTCGTGCTTACCTCTTGTTGAGGTGATGGACATGAGGAGCTTTGGGGTAATCAGGGATTCAGAATCTTCGATTCAGCACCTTCGGCATCAGGGACAAAGGTCGCCAAAGGTAATCCTTAATCTCCCGTGGTTGCTCCTCGAGACGTAATCGAGGGTCGTTTGGCACGAACCCTCGCAGACCAATTCATTGGTACGGGCTGCTTTGGTAGACATGGTCGGCTTCATGCAGTGGTAGCAAAGTGGTTTTTGGTCGCACATTTGCATCACCTACGTTTTCCTCTGTGTACTTTGTTGAGCGCAGACCTACACACGATGTCGGGAATGCTTCGGCGTTAGAGTGTCTCATTGAATTGGCATTGAATACTAAGGGGCAGCCGGTGGCGGTCGTCGTGCCATTGTGGCGTAAGTTGCCCTTGGTTTGTCAGATCCCGCTTCGCTCGCAGAAGTCTCGGTTGAAATACCTGTCAAATTTGTTCCGAAACAATCTCGGCAATCAAAATAAAAGCCGGGCAACTGATGGCAGGAAGTAGCTTCCTGATCTCCTCCCAGACAACGTCGTGGATGATGTCGTGGATGCCTGGGAGGCTGGCGTCGAAGTAGTAGCTGGACAACTTGAGTGTCGAGACGCCGGGAAGTTGTTCATAGTGGCAGGCTCGGGCATGCAGTGCACATTCCATGTTGGAAGCCTCGGTGATATGAACACTTCGACTGTTGTTGGGGGGTTGCGGACAAGGCTGCCGAAGGTGTTGTCCCTCACGTGAGGGGCATGGGATTTTTAGATTCTTGTCTTCTGTAGCATCAAGGTCGGCGTGGGCATGGGCGTGGGCGCTCGATCAAGCGCAAAACATCTTCCATGAGTGCGTTGGCGCTCTCGTGGGGGCAGTGTGCTGGACAGAATCAAGAATGCGGCGCTCTCGTGGGGGCAGTGTGCTGGACAGAATCAAGAATGCGGCTCTCTCTCGTTGATGTTGGCTGACGAATGCGCGCTTCAGCTCGATCTTGCAAACTTCCCATGACGTTAAGGAGGATCCATGGTTCCCAGACCAGCGCCGGCAGTTTCTTCCACGAGAAGTATAGGTTCTGCAGGAGCTGGATGTCTGTCCACCCAATGTGGCGGGTGACACTGTCATATTGTTCAATCCAGTTTTTGACGTCTTCATACAGCTTGCGTGGAAAAGCGTCGGAGTGTGATTTGCGACGGGCATGCAAACAATGGTGGGAGGGGACACGGTTTGCTGCTATAGGTTTGTCATTGTTGGCTTAGTCAGCTTCGGATTTTCTGACAGGAGACCGAATTCCGGTGGTTTTTCCTGGTACCAGCAACTGGTTCGGATTTCAGGTGCTTCGTGGTGTATTTCCGAGGTTACTCCTTGTGGTACTCGGTCGTCTTGCGGTTCTTCTGCCAGGCTCGGGTCAGGACTTTGCTTACGGCTCGACGGGGGTATAAGACGCAGGATAGTCCGCCAGCCGTGTCCCATTATCGGGTAACTCGGCTGAAGAGTTGCCGGGTTCACACAGAGTGAAGGGCTATGGGTAAAGTACCCAGCACCTCCACCAGAACATACGATTACAGCTGAGCATGACCCTGCAGTGTCCCAGAATAGTAAATATTGATAGAAGATAGGACTGGAACAAGGATCCGTGTCAGTATAACAAAACTCGCAGAAGAGAATCTATCCTGACCACTGAAGAAGCTGCATTGCTTTAGTGGCATTCTGTCCGAATAAATCCTCTCCTTCGGGGTTTGGCGACTGCCGTGGACGAACTGAACTGAAATGGATGTGGGACCACTTTTCTGGTAATGAGCCACTGCAGACTGTTGCCACTAAGCGGCGTGAGCTGGGTACGTAGCACGCTCGATGAAATGTCCGGACAGCTTGCAATTCGCGTAACGAGTGTGGATGAAACGTTTATGTTGACGAAACGTGCGACAGACCAGCGGGATCAATACCAACTGCAACACCTGTGCTCCGTGAAAGTGCACGTCTACGCCGGAACAATTTCGGAAGCAGCACAGCATCACCTAAAGCATGGCACAGGAACTACCAGCTTGAAGGCAGCTCTTCGGTGCGCCGCACACCTGTGCTCCGTGAAAGTGCACTTCTACGCCGGAACAATTTGTAAGCAGCACAGCATCATTCAGCACGGCACGGGAACTACCAGCTTCAAGGCAGCCTTCCGGTGCGCCGCACAACCGAAGTGAGCCCTCGGTCATTCGATCGAAGCTGCACCACGATTGCACACCGCCAAGCACGACTCACGCAATTTCCGTCGCTAAACTGTGTATCCAAATATATTGCACACGC